ACAGACCGTATTGCCCCAAACGTCAACATACAGGTCGAAGACGAACTCGACGTGATTCTCCGTCCACATAAATTATCCAAGATGGCGTGGCCTGTCAGCCGCACCTGGCTTACATGCTGAAGTAGACATTCTCTACTCCTGCATGTTTTGGTGCTTGAACTAGGGTGGGTGAATTTAGTCATCCAGTCATCCAAGCTCAAGATTTGGACGCCAAACATGGTTGGTTTTTACCGGAGAATGGCAGCTGGGTTGTACGCTCAGCTTCCTCGCACGATGCATGGAAAAAGAAAGTAGAGTGATCATGTATGTGCTTCTCACAGTCTGCCTCCATCGACCGCACTTTTCAATGAGAAAGTAAGGCTGGCGAAATTTTTTGTGAGTATGACTGCCGGGTGAGGTACAAGACAGATGGGACTGATAGTGAGCTGCCGAAAAGTTTTCGTCAGTCAGAAATGCCAGCAGAAAAACCTACGTGATTATTGGTATTGTTTACTGGTCCAGCATGGTAATATTCTTGAAGGAAACTACTCACAAGGTCGCTGAAAACTCGACAGCCCACGACCGGCTTCGCCCTTCTTTGGGCTCATCAGGTAGGCGCAGTCCCCGTATTTCCATCAACCCTATGTTCTACTTGAACCCAAATTGCAGTTTTCTATACATACACTCATTGCAAATCAATTTGGTTTTCACGAGAAACTCAACTGAATCTCCCGTTTATGATGTTCTACAACTGAATGTGCTGCACACAGGCCGCCTCATGTTTCAGTTGGTACGATATTCGAGATATCGCAGTATATTTTCATGAAGGAAACTACTCACAAGGTTGCTGAAAACTCTTCGCAGGCCACGACCGGTTTCACCCTTCTTGGAGCCCATCAGTGGGGGGCGAGATGTGTCAAGTGGTTAGAGCGCGAATTTACTGACCGGAAGGTCCGTGGTTCGAACCTGACATTTGCCTCTCGACTTCCCCTGTCTAGCCTTGGGCAACCTGGCAGTATCTCAGCCCTCGTGCCTCCTTCGTGTGTCATGGCAGTTAGGCACCGAAAGGTGCCACAGCTGAGCGATTTTTTATCCAGTGCCGGTCGCTGAGTGCTCTGTTCGCCACCCTTTGTAGCTGTGTTTCTGTTTGTCCGGACTTGAAATGTGTTCCGGAGAGAACCGTACGCGGAAGACGGTATATCACAGTTGTTCACCGGTGTTGAATTAACTTGAAGTTACAAAGTACGTTCAAATATCATGTTGCTCCGTCTACGTCGAGGTCTCACGGGGTGACCCAACAGGTACAGCTAATAAACAAGAGTTTCGGTTTAGGTTTTATGAGGAGGGCCGCTTCACTTTCTTTTCACGTAGTACGTCGGGACACTGCAAAATTTCTGAAATACAAAAGTCTAAAGTAGTCTGCTCCTGTCGGTGTGCACATACCCTCCTACTATACTCGTGACAGTGTTATGTGAATACAACCCATACCTCCCTATTGGCTATGGGACGAGATGGACCAAGTGGTTAGAGCGCGAGTTTACTGACTGGAAGGTCCGTAATATTAACTCGACCTCTGCCTCTCGACTACCTCTGTCTAGGCTTGGGCAACCTGGCAGTATCCCAGCCCTCGTGCTTCCTTCGGGTGACATGGCGGCTAGGCACCGAAAGGGTGCTACGGCTGAACGATTTTTTTCTATTGGTTAGGCATTCACGGAACAAAATGATACTGTATTTTGATAGGTAGTATGAAGACAGTATGTAATCAAAGTAGGATTGTGTGACGTGACTGAAGGCATCACTTATGAGAGTAGTTAATCGGTCCTAAGTGCGTAAGAGGTGTATAATCCTTCGGAGAACGGTTCTGTGACAATAACCAATTAGCATTTTTTACATTTGATTCATAATTATTGTAGGATAGCTAACAACGACAGGCGCCAATCTCACAAACCTCACTCAATCATAATGATACCAATTACGACGATACTTGAGCAATTGATTTTGATGTCGAAATAGTACCTAATGATGCCTGATAACTAAAGCGCACCGTTGAAACGTTCCAATTAATACATCGACTGTCACAGAAACCACTATCACTAGGCGCATGTAAACGGTTATTACTTTCTCATTATCATACCAATCTCATCCGTGTAGAAAGATACACGATCAATTGCCTGAGGCGAACGACAAACTGGCCCGATTCACAGGAGTTTGCCCGGTCACGGGCAGTTGAGAGCCCTAGTTTCATAGCAGTACGTTTTTCACCACACTCGCTGCCCAGTACTCACCGTCCAGCGCAAAAACCTTACAGTAAGACTATGTGGTAAATAAGTTTTCCAATTTTGACAGTGTGTCGAAATATTGGCTTTTGGTTGTTGTCCATGCGGATGTTAAACTGTCCACTGAGTTTGGCAATTTAATCATAAAATAATAGTTGTTCAGCTGTAGCACCATTTTGGTGCCTAGCTGCCATGCCACCCGAAGGAAGCACGAGGGCTCAGATACTACCACATTGTCCAAGCCTAGACAGGGGAAAAGGAGAGGTTTGCAAAACGTTTCATTACTAACCGCAGCAATAACCGTTCTTCCCACTCGTCATCGGACTTGGTGCATTGTATCTCCGCATTCGTTGAACCAGAAGTCAGAGTATGAACTCCGTGGGACAGACGGTGGTACCATTTATAGAGACAATGGGCTAATAGCAGTTTGCCCAGAAGTCGACCGTTTGATGAACGTCGGTTGCACTTCCTTATGGTTTAGGGGGCCGTTGAAATTCAGTAAAGATAGTGGGTTCGCGTTCACTATTTGAACCAACGAAAGTATCTTAGCTCCATTGTCCGTCTGATTTAACCAAGCTAACATTAGAAGAACAACCTTCAAGGATGTATTTCAGGGATGTACTACGACCACTCCGGAAATTTAATCGCCTTCCGGGCGCTTTGCTGACATTTAGCGTCCAGTAGATACTGAAATATAATTGGCTTGTGTTTATCCGACTGTTAAAGCCTCACTTCCAAATCAGCAATTGTGATAAAATAAGCTGGCTTCTCCCGACTGAACAAGCAAGATAACAGTGGCACTGTTCAACTTCCTCGTAAAGTGACTACTGTCCTATGGGTGGCATTTGATCGTGCTAAGGCTAGAGCTCTCCTCGAACAAAAGCAAAGCGACTGACGACATCGCTAGCATATCCCGTAGAAACTCCACGTCTGCGTCTCGCAACCATTGTACTTTTCATTCCATATCGTTCACGCCATTTGATGCGCCTTCAGCTGTCCTAGAGGCTAGGATGGCCTGAACACAAGCTGGGCTTATTCCGAACACTTTGGGATGTCTGAAGCCAATGTCTCACTGTGCAACCGCCGTATGACTACCGGGGAAAGATATCCTACCTTTTAGGGAATCAAATATCTCGCCCGGAGTCAGAATCCACCATGTGTCTCGATCGAGATGGCTCAAGTGGTTAGAGTGCGAATTTACTGACCGGATGGTTCGAAACACGGACCGTGTTTCGAACCTGACCTTTGCCTCTCGACTTCCTTTGTCTAGGCTTGGGCAACCTGGCAGTATCCCAGCCATCGTGCTTCACTCGGGTGGCATGGAATCTAGGCGCTGAGAGGGTGTTACAGCTGAACAGTTTTTTATGTCTCGACACCAATTCGTTGTACTGGCTTCACTGTAACGGGCTAGAGGGTGGCCTTCGCCAAACTACAAGCAAGACCTTAATACCATTGTTTTCCTGAGAATCACAATGGAATGATTCGAATGGCGTCCCATCATCATCATCACGTTCACGTCTGTATACGCCTCAACTTTGGCCGTCGATTCTTACATATGGGACGAATTTTACGAATGGCTAAAGGGCGTTGTCGGTCCACTATTCTAGCTATCCTCGTTTCAGCAGTATCCGGGCCCTCGTGCTTCCCTTGGCAGCTAGGCAGCGAAAAAATGTTGCAGATGAACGATTATCATTATTGATTAGATTATTATCGATCTGTTTTATGAGACTGGTTGGATAGATATAAATCGAAGCACACTGCTCTGCTGCTCTTGTTTACTCACTTCTACCTGAAATGGAACGTGGCCATTCGGCTCGGGGTTTGCTGTTCAAGAGAAACAAAAGATTTTCTTTGTTACTTTTTTTTAACCGTTTTTCGGCGTCATTCTGGAGAGGCATTTCCTCATAACTTTTTCTTTTCTTCATTTCCAGGCGTGCGCGAATTTTCACGACGGAGGAAGCCATAGACCAGGCCATCGATCGCTGGCAAGCCTACATGCGTTCGTGTTCGGAGGCGTTAGGGGTACTTCGACAACAGTTGATCGATGCTTACGTACCCTATGCACTGGAAAAATGGAATCTTGAACGTCAACCGTCCAATCAAGCGTCTACAATTGGCTCCACTGGCGAAGGCGCAGGTGTCTCTACTACTCATCAGAGTAATCCACTAGGAGATTTATCTTTGTTGGGTGATTCTTCATTCAGCCTGGTTTTTTCGAATTCTGTTTTTAAACCGTTCGAACTAATTAGGCTGTTTGGTGGTGTGCTGTTTGATGTAGAATTTGTTGGCTAGTCGTAAAAAGTAACTCAAGTGTTCAGTGAAAGGCCTTTAATACAGGGGAACGTAGAAGAGTTCCGTAGGCAGTGCGCAACCAATGTCATACTGTTGACTTAACCAGGTTGTCTTAACTCTTATTTTTTAAAAGGGCTCTTTACCCGAGAACGTCATAAATGATAGATTCAGCTGGGTTCCAGGTGGGTCTCTCGAAAGAACCAAATTAGTTTGGAGATGAGTGTATATTCGCTAATTGCTCTTTACCTCGTTTGTTTTGGAGGCACAAGTACAAATTTTGCCATAACGGGGGGCTGACATCCAATTTCAATGCGGAAGACCACTTTACTTGGCATGTGTGTCACCGTTCCGATGATTTATAAGTGCACTTCACCACTCACCCATGCAGTTTTTCGTGAATGTTTTGAGTAAATGGATAGAAAGGGGCATTATTTATCTCTAGGATGTTGTTTTTTAAACATCTCCATTCCCGTCCTCTTCCAGACACCCAAGTTTCTGAGTTCCGGTTTTCCGTTTCGCGTGTGGGTTCCATATTATAAGTGAAGCTTCATCTACACTTTTCACCAGAAAAATTTGTGCATAGGCTGTGAAACATGGGTTCAAATACCCTATTGGTTGGCACGTTCGTTCAGCGCTTCCAACTGCTATCTGACTGTGCACTCTAATCTCTTCACTTCAGGTCTAATGCGGTCCTGATAGACCAGAGAACGGTCCTTCAGGCGTGCCAAACGCGGACAGTGCGCATACGTTAATCTGACTTTCCAACCCGTGTTACTTTGTGCACACTCGTCTAATTGCAAGGGAATGCCTAGCGTCCCGTACTGTCTAGCACTTAGCGCGACACACTGAGGTCTGCTGACTAGAAACGTTGGCCAATTCCGCTTGTAAGCTCAGTCGTTGGGTCTCGAATGCTTCTAATATTTTCGTCATGTCTCTATGTTATCTTTCATGATCCTTCGATCGGAAATATTCGTTGTCCATCAGTACATCGCTGCAACGGAACTTTCTCTGTAGAACGACGTACTTCTCACAGTTTCGTCGACGATCGAGGAATAGCTGTCGTGCTGGAAGGTACTAGCGGCTAAATGTTGGTTTGGATCGTATTGGCCTTGTGTCATGCTGTGATATGACCCAGAATGCAAACGGTCAGTTGGGTTACACGATCAGGAGATGCACATTCGACTGGAGCATAGGCTAGACCAAATGTACTCGTCTGGCGTGACGGGGTTGCAGTCGACCTTCAATAAGAGACATATGTTAAGTAGGCGACCAGATGTAGTTCATACTGACGCGTGATTTGCCTACCTACGCAACCATTACTACCACAGGTTTCTGCGTTCCTGTATGCAACTCGTCGTCAAGTAGTGTATGCTGACAGGTGCGCAACCGTTTTATCCCTGCTAGGAATAGTTGGCTGTGCACACATTACGATCTCGCAGTGAATTTGAATGCGCAACCTACTAACAGAAGCTGAACAGGCAGTCTAGCTGCCATGCTGACCGAAGTAGGGCTGGGATACTGTCAGGTTGCCCAAGCTTAGACAAGGCAAATCGTGAGGCAGAGGCCGGATTCGAACCACAGGCCTTCCGTTTAAGTAAATCCGCACTCTAACCACTGAACCATCTTCCCCCCTCCCCCGAACATGCATCCACTCAACTATGAGTGACCGATCACCAGTATGATCGATTATACATAGCGATAATCATCCTTCAGTCGTGAAGTAAAGCGAAACTTCGCGTGCTATTCAGTAATCTGAGCTCATACTCAGATTCGTTCTGAATTACCGTTTTCTTTCTTGAGAGTCCGGCCCTCCAAATTTGACGGTACACTTATTGACCTACCGATAAAAAAAATCGTGTGACTTCTCGGATGATCCCCCTCAGCTTCAACGTACACTACACAACTTTTAGTTCAGGTTTGCTGACCTAGCCATTTTTAAGACCACTTACTGATCCACCATGTTGGAGTTCTGAGGCCATATTTAAAGATTATCGCATTACCCAATGCTTTAGAACTCATACACAAACCCGCTGAGTTCATTTAAGTACCAGAGAACCGTCTTAATGGCAATAGGTTCTTGGCGTATACCCCCTTGACTTCTGGATTGTGGCTTCCGTCTTTGGTTTGGCCTTCCTCAGTTGCTTTCACCTGATTAAGCCTGCTTATCGGAGTACGTCATCTGCTTGGTGTCATAAGCGACCGGATACATGGTTCTGTATATCCGATAGGTTTCGCTGCTTTTTCAGAAATTTTCCGTTTTTCCTAGATGCAGTCCTATTCGCCGAAAAATATCTCAGCACCGGATGTCAGAATAGCGTAGCATCTGATCTGATATGAAATGACTGAAATGATAGTTGCACTTGATGTTTTTTTTTTCATCTGAACCATTTCATTGTACATTGTTCGCCCTCATCAATCTTTTAATTTCGGTAGAAACCAACCAGTAGTAGATAACTCCTATTGAATTCCCTACTTTGATGTTATTCACAGCCCCTCTCACGGCCCGAAAGAACAAAGCTCTCCGGAACATGCTACGTCATTCTGTAAAGGTAAATCGGTATGATCTATTTGAGCTCTATTTGAGCCATCTTGGAAGCTGATAGTGCGCTTACTTTTAACCCATACATCGCTCACTGTTGCTATCTGACTTTTCTCCACTTTATGGTATCTTTTGTGCTCTGTAAACTTTTTTCCTGAGTAATGCATTACTTATGGTGCAGACCTTTGCGTTATAGCATTTTGGATGATCCTAGAGATGGGAAGTTCTATGCGAAATAAGTGCACTGTGAATCATCATTGTACTTGCACTTTTTTCAGCAAAATAACTTCATCTTCGCTCACCTTTCAAGGGGGGATTGCATGCCCTAACCAACACAGTAAAGTTCTTTACGACGACCTTTCCAGTCCACGGTGACCACTTTTGATTGGTTTTCAAATGTCCTCACGTGACCCCGCTCAGCTGTAGCACCCTTTTGGTGTCTAGCTGCCATGCCACCCGAAGGAAGCACGAGGGCTGAGATAATGCCAGGTTACCCAAGCCTAGACAGGGGAAGTCGAGAGGCAGAGGTCGAGTTCGAATGACGGATCTTCCGGTCGGTAAATGCGCGCTCTAACCATCTCTAGCCATCTCGCCCACGTGCCCCCACAAAAACTTGTTCTTACGTCACTATGAGCAACCGTGAGGAGTAGTACTTGAACAAGATTAACGAACCGAACGACTGTATTTGATTGCCTGTCGACGAAGTTACTGGAGGGTGGGTTGCTTTTTCAGTTCACTTCCTCTAACTTATTGAGCAGTTTCTTTGGTGAGGCATACCGTGATTTAGAAGGCACTGTCACTGATCAGGTTTATCTGCCCTCCAAGTTTCTGTCGTTTTGCTCCGTTTCAGTAAAAAGTTGTGCTGTATCTGCGTGTTCCGCTTTATTACGTTACCTGATCGGACGGTGTCAGTCTTGTTGGAATGGATCTACTCGTTGGATCAAAAAGATTGCGCGATTAGAACAAATGATTTGGTTGTGGGTTCGAGGATTCTGGACCACCTTACGTATACTGCACCTACCATTAATAGAATCCCCTATATCCTCGGCTGCGGCAATTCTTTACCGATGCCATATCAAATTCAGTTCTCTCTATGCTCATTGCTCTTTATTTATGCTTTCTGATGTGATCGCAATTTCATACATAGAGAAGAGTTAAGCTTCGTAATTTGGTGTAGTCCTTCTGATCCTGGGCGGAGCTGTTTGCAAATCACCACTTGGAGACAGCTGAAATGACTGTTCTTTTTAGATCTCTTACTTCGCTCGCTAGGTGTTTTTCTGCCCCTCCACCTTTGGCATTGGTTGCCGAACAGTTTCCATGTTGAACTTCGTACTCTTTTCTCGTTATCTGCGTAGCCTTTTCCTATAAACAACACGTCATACGTGCTCGACGTCATTGATTTATGCGATCTGAGAAAACTCTGGGAATCGGGCATTTCCTTCGCCCTGTAGCCTGAAGACCATCTTTCCTGTCTGATAGGATTGCCATCCTGGGTCATCTCATTCGTTATTTATCGCACTCTAACCCGACTTCAACCCGGCGTATCCAAATGTTATTCTCAATGTACTTCCTTCTCCCAGGTGGCCAATCAGAGACATTTGGCTTGTGTATCCAAATTCGCTATCGTGAGCAGTCGGCTTGCCAAATGGCGTAAACCAACGGCCAGTCAACGCTGCCAGTACCGTGATCCGACCACAACAACTTGGGAAAAACCTTGTGGGAATTTATGCATTCCGCTACTTCCGGTCTGTGCTGCCCATGTGGTTCAACTAAAGCCAGCGCCGTCTGTAGAAAGTCTCTCCGATAAACCTGTCGATGTGGTCAATGGATGTTACCAATTAGATCCCAACTCGGAAACAAAACCACTGAGTGTCAGTCCGCAGAGTCCCACTGACGGTGGTCATTCATGCGCACCCGACCTCATTCCCCCAGCTCGAAGCACACGCAGTGTTAAACCATCTCCATCCGACTCGCTACCCATCAGTCCACCTTCTTCGACCACTCCAACTCTGCAGCTTCCCCAGCAGGTTGGTAACCTTTCAACAGCTCTGTGGCCACATTATCGTTAGACACCGCACTTTCTCTCTGACATGATTGGGTTTTAGAATGGTTGCTCAGTACAGGATGACGTACATCTTCGCCTGTGCTAACAGTGCTGGATTTATGCACCAATTTATCAGCTCGCGCCTGCAATGCGCAGCTACCTCCCCCTCCCCCCAAATCATTGTTGAACGAAACTGCGGCAGCTACAACCACTGTACGACGAGTACGCGGTTATTACAGCTGACAATGATGATGATGATGACGTCTTCGCCTCCTCTTGTCACTGCTCCCGGCTGGTGTCCAAAACTAGTGCTCATTTTGTTAGACGAAAAACGCCATGAAAGTGCATTCGGCTGCAAGCCCAACTTTTCCGGAATCGTTTGAACTGCATTTTCGTGCTTAGCACAGCCTTTTGTTAGAATACGGTACCTTCTTTGGTGTTTTCACACTCAACCTTGAGAAGCAAGCAAACTGAACCTAACTGACTCACGATTCAATTGGGCACGAACGTCCAGTTCCCCTAAGCATATAGTAGTGCCGGGTTGTATATGCATTTTGTGGTGAATGTCTGGGGCTAGGATGTTCGTGATAGACACGCCTTGATAGGCTCAAATGGAGTGCACAACAGTGGCTGAGCTTTTGTATGCCTGGTTTTCGAAGAGTGCATTTGCCGTCTAAAAAAAGTCAGCACTGTTTACGCTACTGTTGATCAAGTCTTGATGGATACTTCCCGAGAAGATAGTTAGTTCATCCTCCGTAGGCTGTTTGATGACTGTCACGTTAAGTTATGTTGTGTAATGCAGCAGGACACCCTCAAGGCCATATGTTGGGCCGACTTCAAGTATAGTGTTATCATGGTCACTAAACTGTTCAGTTCCAGTAAGACTGGTGTGAATTCATTCAGCTGTTCATAGAATTGCGTGCACTTGGTCAGTATCTTTGTGGTTATTGCTCTCCACCATGTCGGTCAAGGAAGGCTACCCCCTCATGTGCAGGAGGAACCCCTTGTTGTCCTGATCTCATCACCAAATAATGCCTGTCAGTTTTTCAGCTGACCTCTCAGCATCGGATGCGAGAATGTTTTTGGCTCAAAATGTGCTTCATCAAGGTACCTCAAAAAATATGCACATTCAGCTCGTAATCAACATATTTTCCACAAATAGCCAGCGAAAGGTCCTTACGAAGCGCCGTAGCTCCTACTGGGGAAGGCTGCTTAGGTGTGATATATTCAACCCACTTAATTCACCTATCGACACGTTCTAGCAGAAGTAACTTTTCACAGGAATGGCTCCATTTCCTAATTTCGTTTACCACGCATGTGGTTCGGGTACATTTAATAACTGGACACAAACCAGTGTGGTTATTCGAACGAATATGAACGGATTGTACTCAGATTTTCCGTCTTAATTCCCTCTAGATTTGGGTCCCATAAGACAGAATGTTGACCAATAACAATTAGTCCTACAATTCAATTGCGTTACAGACATTTAGGAAAGAATACCTTGGTGATAACAAACACTTTTGCCCTGTCTTTTTTATGCATCGCTCTGAGTTACTTTACACTAATGTCGGCGAACACATGTGGTGAGGCATACAGGCCCGTAGGGTATACTTTCCCACAGGTTGCCGTCGGCTATTGAGTGATGCATTGTACTAAAACGTACCATTTGGTACACTTGGGTGTCAGGTTTGTTATGGGATAGCCAGAAGATTCTGACTCATGCGATCAACCTGTGATTAAAGTAGATCCCCTACTGAGACCCCCACTATCCATTTCACGCTTGGGGCCCACCAGGCACGCTCGGTCCAGCGAAACCTGTGCTGGTAAGCACTCACTTGGCGCTTACAAAAGATTCAAACGCAACACGTTTTATAATATTAGAATTATGTCGATTATTGTTAGCTGTTGTAGGTGAGAGATTCAGTTGAATTTCAGTTGATTATCCTGTTATGATTAGCTTACTAGGCACTTCTGTCCTCCTACCAATAGAATCGTTCGTCAGGGTTTCCATCCCCCTTCATTGCTGTATCATCCCTTGAGAAAAGTGGACCCTTGGTTACATTGAACACGTGTTCGGCATCTATGCTGTTTTACCCCAAGTTATCACTCAAGCAGCGAATAACTCGGAATGCTCAGTGTGGAATGGCACCCGGTCCCGTCCTTGTCCGGCATGTGTTCCTCGAATATTCAAAGAAATTGGAGTGCTAGTGTCAGTGAAGTACCAGTGCAAAGTTCGAACGTATGTATATATATGCATATATATGCTTAAACACCGCCTCGGCGGTTTCTCGAAAGGGCCTATTCAGTGGTACTTCTCGTATTCACTCGAACCACGACTGCGCAATAGTAAGCAGACTAGGGGCGCGTCTTCTAACATCCAGTTCAGTCGACCTCATACCGCTTGTACCAGGGTTCAAAGACCGCATTATCACCGGGTGCCTAGTTGAAGTTGCTGACTGAGTGTCTCAGTTTGTTTGACGATGATACCGATGAACGGTCGCTTGAGACTGTTTGTTTACTCACTGTACTGTCAATTCGAGACCGTTCGGAAATTACTCGTAGTTGTGTGCGTGAGATTGGAATATCGCCAAACCTGTTGTGATTTGCGTTTAGCTGTTCCCCAAGCCAGCCTGAACGAGAAAGTCAGAGTGCAATGAAGCTAGCTGGCTTGGTGCCGGATGTACCCCTGTACAAATGTGACACAGCGCAGCAACCAATATAGCTAAGGAAACGATTGCTGGGTTGAAAGGCATTCGTATTGCAAACGGTCAGTAAAAGTAGACCACGGTGTGGGCCGATTGGCCACATGGATACCTTGAAACCAATCCCGCCAAGGCCCATTGTTATGTTATCAATGGTCAACCAGTGGGTTCTGCCTGTTAGGGTATCTTCTAGTCGGCATGTCGGACATGACGAACCACTCGACCTTATAACACCGGTCCGAACGGGCAGAATCAACCCCCCCATTTTGGACGAGTAGCTGATTTGTTACCAGATCCGTATTGCTATTCCGACGTTCCATTAATACATATGCATTGCTTGAAGGCGCCGATGATCAAGGACAAACATGCACTCTTTTCTTGTCTTCAACGCACTATGGTTCTACAGCCATGAGGTAACTAAAGATGCACAGCTTACGTGGCCCTGTTTTGCAGGGGGTTGAATTCCATTGTCTGTAGAGGCTTTGTGACACTCTTATTCCGAGTACCGGGCAACACGCATTCAGCAGCAAAGCCAGTCTGACCTGAGGCCTAAATTTAATCACTGCTGTATCTTTCTACCCCTTTTTCGTTCGAATGCAGTATCTGTTTCGGCCATGTGGTGGTGCGTTCGGTCAACCTTGTAACAAACCTGTCATCGCATGGACTCCGTACACACGTTGTCCGCGGCACACATTCACGGTCCCTCCTCCAGAAGAGACATCCCCACGTACAGATTCACTCACGGAAACCTCTGATCTCTACACTGTACTACATGAAGCCCTTCAATCCAGACCGGCTAAGTTGGAACCGAATGGATTGTGAGGTTGCTGAAATGGGCAGACGTTTTCACCATATCGCTCTGTCAATATAACTCTGTGTAAACATAGCCGTTTTCCGCACATGTACTTGTTCTGTCTTGGTCTGTGCCTGTTTACGTGTTAATAGCACTGTTGTTGATGATAATGTGCCGTTCCAGTCTGGATCATATTGCGACATTAGCATTTCATAGGACACTACAGTTGAAGTTTGTATTGATACCGCATTAGGTCGACAGCGAACTCTGCATGTTGTGCCAAGTTTACCACTTTACAACGAAACATGGCTGCTTGCCTTATGGACCATCGTTCGACAGAGGTCATTCGTTTGTGAAATTTTTCGAGACAGGGGTTTCGTGTCTAGGTTTCACCTTCATCTGAGTCCTCTCGTTAGACTCTGTCCTTAAAAACCGTATTTCGTACTCATCTGACACACTTACTGGAGGAAGTTGTTTGGTTGCTTACTGTTATCCTTGGCTCAAGGGAATTACGTGTGATAGTCCACCGGTAATATTCAGAACTAGTGTTATGGATTGCTGTAGGAACAGACCCCCCGTTGGTCCATCTGACCGGATAGCTCTTTTCTCGCTGAATCTATTTACTATACAGTTCCTTTGGTTGTGTTTGCAACACGGCATACAGTTACAAGGTCATTTCATCGCCTTCTTTTGGGTTGGTACTATACTGATTCACCTCCTTCGTACGAGTCCGCCCAGTGCGGTTGTTTTGGCCTTATTTTCTGTCGTCCGGTCTGTTCACTTTCCACGCAGCGAAATGATGTCGTACCGTAGTGATATGGAGGCAGCCGATGATGATGCCTAACTGTTGAGGACTAATTCGAGAGGTTTCCACGTGACAGTTGCTGTTCGCCATCCGACCTGTAAAGTGGCAAAATATAACTTCACCGGGACCGCGGGCAACAGGGACATCGACTTGTGATCCCCTGTGGTGAGTATCACTTGGCAGCAACGTCACTGAAGGACACCGTTCATCATCATCATCACTGTCAACTGTAAGAACCACGTACCTATCGTACAGTGGTTTTAGCCTCCACAATTTCGTTCACGGATGATTCGGGGAGGTGGGATAAACAGCTGCGCATGAGAGGCGGGAGCTCATAAATTCGCGCGTAAATACAGAACTGTCAAGTGGGTGAATCGTGAAGGGATCTATGCATTGAAGGCATTGAGGACGCGACTGGGCCATGTCTGACAATGTCCCTAACCACTGGTGTGGCCGGTCTCGGGGTCCCCATCCAGGAAGACGGCAATGACCAGCGCAGCTGAGTTTGCTGGCTTCTATACTTCCGTGCCAAGTCACTGTTTGACGCCTATAGCTCTTCCATCCTTCACGTGGTTGTGCGAAAAGAGCCCTTCGAGGAAGTCGATTGACTGGTATACGCACACCATGGCCAACCCAGCGTTAACCCATGCGGTGTGATCAGTTCATCTGTCGAGGATGAATTATTTCTCCCGAAATTCAGCATTGCTGATCCGATGTTCCCAACAGATTTTGGCAATGCTCCGAAGACATAGATGGTCAAACACTGAAAGTCCTTTGACGTCCTCGGCGCGCAGCTGCCAGGTTTTCGGTCCGTACAGCAATTCGGAGTGCAAGAGAGTAGGACCGATGCTACACTAGTGTACAGCTATGCGGGTTTGTTTAACCGAACACCCATTCACTCAAGCCGAACAGTAATTGACAGCATAAATACCGTTGACGTTAGTTCTTAGCCGTGCCTCGCAGCGTTTCCAACCAAGCATAGGAAGAGTCCAGTAGGCACAACCCTGAAATCTGGATTGAACGCAGATTTCGGGTACTTGTCACCTGCTTTTCTACCAAACCACCACGCCTTGACTAACTCCTCCCTTCAGGCACACTGAGTTCAGTACTGAGGGGAACATATGCCAGAAAACTATAATGCAGCATGCGTAGCGTTGGGGGCAAGATGGCTCAAATGGTTAGAGCGCGAATTTACTGGCCAGAAGGCCCGTTGTTCGAGCCTAAGATCTGCCTCTCGACATCCCCTGTCTAGGCTTGGGCAACCTGGCAGTATCCCAGCCCTTGTGCTTCCTTCGAGTGACATGGCGGCTAGGCACCGAAAGGGTGTTACATCTGAATGATTATGTTATTATTAATCGTAGCGTGCTTCCGGGACACCACATCTTTTACTGCCGCTGACCTATTCTGAAAATGTGTAGTTCCTTTGTCTTTTCTTAAAGTAGATTCTTGACCTCACAAGGCCGCCATCCAATACCTGTTATGTGATTTTGTTCAGTAGCCCGATTGCGACAACTGTGTTTATCCTACTAATCGCCAGATTCCGAATGTACGACGGCTTACATGGAATGAGTTGTTTGTGTTCTTGTTTAATACCAGATCAACTTTAGTTTTTTCTGATGCGGTTTTCGTTGACGTCCGACAGAAGCACACAAAGGTGAAATTCGTGTCCGGGGACCGTAACAAGATGAAGCCAAGAGCATACATCTGACGACCGGTGACATCAAAAGACTCCCAGGGATACCTGCCTGTACCATCTAATGGCCAATGTGTTCGATAATTAATCAGTTGTGTGATCGACTTCGAGATGATTCCGTATATTGTCGGTACACTATGCGCTTCATACTTGTGACAGCCTCGTTAAGTTTTTGCATTTTGTTGACAAATATAACTTGTATAGTTTGTAATCAACGTGTTCGCTTCACTTTGCCTACCTTGGCAGGACTTGAGGAATGTCTATAAACCCGGTGACATTCTGTCCTGACGATGTGTTTATAGTCGCCGCTCGGCGTAGCCCTATCGGTCGCAAAGCAGGAAGTCTTTCTGGTTTAGCTGCTCACCAACTCGGTGGGCAGGTTATTACTTCTGTTCTCGAGGATGCCGTCCAAGCAGCATCTCCCGCAACGCTAACAAAGGAACGCCTAATTCAGTCCTTAGATGAAGTGATCATCGGTCAGGTTTTCACGGCGGCCGCTGGACAAAATCCAGCCAGACAGGCTGCCGTGCTTGCAGGTTGGTCCCTACATTTTTTGTGTTGATCATCCACTTCATAAGTTTAATCATGGTTACATGCTCCATGATAAATGATGTCATTTTTAAAGAAACATTTCCTGGTGTTTTCCAACATTTGCACAGGGATCTCCATACAACTGTAGTTCTCTTGTTCTCTTTCCCCCCCCCCCCC